GATTTAGCGATCCGCACTCCGGGGGCAACTTGGCTATTAGATATATAGATACAAAATTCTTTATGCATGTATTTCTGGATGTGTGTCACTGCAAAATAAAGAATATTGGCCACTGAGGAAGGCCCAAAGGGGCCGAAACGCGTATGGTCCTTAGGTCACAAGTTTTACCCATCAATTGGACATGTATAACTATCAGCTTTGATGCTATAAGCTTTAAGAGTCTGAGTCAGTTGAAAATTTTTTCAACTTTTTTTATTTTTGTGCACACGTGGGGACTGGCCCACGTGTGCACAAACCTCCCCCGCCCCCCCAGCTGCCCCCGGAGCGCCGATTTAGCGATCCGCACTCCGGGGGCAACTTGGCTATTAGATATATAGATACAAAATTCTTTATGCATGTATTTCTGGATGTGTGTCACTGCAAAATAAAGAATATTGGCCACTGAGGAAGGCCCAAAGGGGCCGAAACGCGTATGGTCCTTAGGTCACAAGTTTTACCCATCAATTGGACATGTATAACTATCAGCTTTGATGCTATAAGCTTTAAGAGTCTGATATTTTGACTATTTCTTTTAACCGTATGTATGTTTTAGTTTTGTGTACACTCAAATAAATATTTGCATTTTTTAATATGATTGATATGTTAGCTTGACCCTCTTAGATCGCAGCAGCTACATTTCGGGTTGCGTTTCCTTCCCGCCCCCTTTTGGTCTGGGCTTCTTTGCCTCTTCCAGGGGGCGCCGTGTTCCAGTCAGCCTCAGTGGCGGCAGCGGCTGGAGCGGATGAATCTGCAGGGGCCCATTTCAGCCGCTGAGACCGAGAGCGGAGGGAAGCTGGGTGTGCACCCAGAGGCTGCTCTGCTGCAGGCAGGGCACCACGAGGCGGGTGGAGGGGGCTGCCCAGAGGGTTTTCAAGGCCAGAGACATCCAGAGGCGGTGGGCCATGGCCTGCCTCTGCGTGGCGACCCTGGACTTCCCGGGTGGTCTCCCCTCCGAGTGCGACCCAGGCCTGACCCTGCTGAGCTTCCCAGAGGTGATGCCATCCCGCTGTCCAGGGCAGGGCAGAAGACGTCCAGAGGCGGTGGGCCCTGGCCTTCCCCTGCATAGCAGGTCCTCTGGACTTCCCGGGTGGTCTCCCCTCTGAGTCCTCCTAACCAGGGCCGATCCTGCTTAGCGCCCAAGAGCTGAGGAGACCAGGTGAGCCTGGGCCATCCAGGTGAGGGTGGTTACCATGACAGGAAACAAAAAAGGGAAAGATGGAACCCGCTCTTCAGCCTTCAGGTGAGGGGAAGCCCCCTCCTCCCCCACTGCAGCTCCCCCTGGCGCCCCGCTCCTCTCCAGTCTCCTCTGGCCTCCTCCCGTCCCCCTGGGCCTCTCTGTTCCTGGTGCTGGGCTCCTCCAGAGCTCCGGCCTCCCTCCCTTCCCGGCTTTTCTCTCCCAGAAACTGGTGGTCGAGAACCGGGCCCTGTGGCGGTGGCTGAAGAGGGTGCTCGGCTACCAGTCCTCCAGCGCGTACCAGAAGCTGAGGAGGGCCGTGGAGGAGGACCCGGCCTGGCCCCCCCTGGGCAAGAAGGACTTCTCCGACTCCGTGGCCCTCTCCGTGGGATGCCGGGAAGCCTACGCCAACCCAGTCTTCGAGAGCCACGAGGAGTCCCAGTCGGGGCTTGACCCCTAAGGCCAGGCCACCACATCCCGGCCTAACTTTCTCCTCTTACCACCAGTGGAAGGAAGGGGGACTGTGCGTGGTGACACACTGCCACGTGTGGCGTCGCCATTGGAGAACGGGACGAGACCAGGAGGGATCGGGGTTCCGAGCCCTGCTTGCCCTGAAGTTTACCGGGTGCCTAGAGCCAGCCCCTCTCTTTCTCAGCTTAGCCTACCTTACAGGGCTGTTGTGAGGATAAGTCAGAGGAGGAGGAGGGGGGGAGTCATTTATGCTGCACTGAACTTCTTGGAAGGAAGGGCAGGGTAGGAAGGTAATAAATCAGCCCCCCCCCCATGCCTCAAGTCCTGCTGCGCAGACTTGGCCTGAAGAGGGCAGCGTTTCCTTCCTGTTCCTGGCTGGAAGGGCCCGATCCAGGGCCAAGCACTGATGGTTGCTGCTTTCTGACCACTGAGCCTATGACGTCTTTCCTCTGCCGTGGCACGGGGCAGGGGGAGGACAATTAGAGGTCATTTATTTCTTGGAGAGGGGAAAACAACACACACACACCCCGAGACTGCCAGGCACTTGAAGACTGAGTCAGGTTCCTTGTTTCCCCCCCGTGTTGTATCCTTGATGCTGAGATCTGGAACACTTGCACTAAACTGCCCCTGCGAGGAGACGAGCAGTGCAGCGGACGGCATGTCTGTTGTGGAACAGGGGGGGGGGCTGAGTTCAAATCCTCCCTCCGCTAAAGAATTCGCTGGGCGACCTTTGGCCAGGCATGAACTCTCCGCATAACCTACCTCACAGGGTTGTTGTGAGGACAAAGAGGAGGGGGCATTTCTGTCAATGTGATTTCTCGAAGGAAGAGCAGCAAATGAATAGACGGATCTCTTCGGAGTCTTGCACAAAAAGAGACACTTGTATGTAAATATTTTAAACAGAATAAATGAAGAGGTCCAAAGACTCCCAAAGCAAGAGCCGTCTTGGAAACACACGGCAGCTGAACGAATCCGGCACCAATCGGGCCACGGGAAAGGGAGTGCCGGAGCAATCTGAGCGTGTCGATCTGGGGCCAAACCCAGCCCTTGCTTTGCTTTGTACCCTGGGCAACCTGTGTAGCGGTGGAGGGCAGGTGCTGTGCCACACCAGTGCCCCTCCTGAAGACGCTGCCTTCGTTCTTCAAACTGGACCAGTCCAGATCTCGAGGGCAGGGGTGGGACATGCCGGGGCCCCTGAAGGGACCACACCCTCGAGGTTAGATTACTGCAGCACACCCAGTGCGGGGGCTGCCCTGGAAGACACCAAAAACACCACCGCCTTCTCCTGGTTCGGAGCCCGGGACGACCAACGACTGCGCGTTCCGTTCCAGGGGCTGCCAGCCCTTGCCTTCGTGAGAGTTCCTCCTGAGTAATGGGAAGGTATCCTGCGCTGCTTGGCCATCCCCACCTGGCCTGGCACCAAGTCCCCTCCTCTGCCGGAGTAGAAATGAAGCTGTCGGAGCTAAGCAGCGCAGAGAAAAATCCCACGAAATCAACTTTTCCTCCTGAAGATCTGGAGAAGATCTCTTAGTGATGACTTCCTGGCTCCGCCGCAGCTGGCGAGCCCCCGGCTGCTCTCCCAGAACCTGTCGGAGCTTCTCGCTCTACCCTGACCGCCGGCGGCAGCTCTCCAGGTCCTCAGGCAGAAAAGGTCTTTCCGTCCACCCAAGAGCTCATCCCTACCCCCCCCCCCCCCCCCCCCGATGCCGGGAATGGCTGCCAGGAGCTTCTGCGTACCAAGAGAAGAAGAAGAGAAGAGATTGGATTTATACCCCGCCCTTCACTCAGAGTCTCAGAGCGGCTTACAAACTCCTTTCCCTTCCCCTCCCCACAACAGACACCCTGTGAGGTGGGTGGGGCTGAGAGAACTCTGACACAAACTGCTCTTTCAGGAACAGCTGTGCCAGAGCTTGTGACTGACCCAAGGTCACATCAGCAGGTGCAAGTGGAGGAGTGGGGAATCAAACCCGGTTCTCCCAGATTAGAGTCCGCCCACTTAACCACTACACCAAACTGGCACCAAGTGTTTGCTCCACCACCGAGACACGCCCTAGTTCCCTGAGCTTGTCTGTTGACCGGACTCCGCTAATAAGAACATGTTACTCGAGTAGTAACAGTTTGGTGTAGTGGTTAAGTGCGCAGACTCTAATCTGAGAGAACCGGGTCTGATTCCCCACTCCTCCACTTGCACCTGCTGTATGACCTTGGGCAAGCCGTAGTTCTGTCAGAGCTGTCCTTGAAAAAGAGCAGTTTCTGTCAGAGCTCTCTCGGCCCCACCTGCCTCACAGGGTGTCTGTTGTGGAGAGGAAGAAGGGAGAGGAGTTTGTAAGCCGCTCTGAGACTCCGAGTGAAGGGCGGGGTATAAATCCAATCTCTTCTTCTTCATCTTCTTCTCCTTCTTCTTCTTCTTCCTCCTCCTCCACTTGCACCTGCTGGATGACCTTGGGCAAGCCGTAGTTCTGATAACAGCAGTCCTTGAAAAAGAGCAGTTTCTGTCAGAGCTCTCTCAGCCCCACCCACCTCACAGGGGGTGTCTGTTGTGGGGAGGGGAAGGGAAAGGAGTTTGTAAGCCCCTCTGAGACTCCCTTGGGTAGTGAAGGGCCATGGGGTATGAATCCAATCTCCTCCTCCTCCTCCTCCTCTTTGGTTCTAAAGGGTTTTTTGCACTAGGGACCACCTTGTTCCCAGGTTCCATTCAGGGTTCTGGTTCTTACCGGGAAGCCCTTCCTGGCCTGGGAGGCACATCCTGAGAGCCAGCAGCATGAAAAGGGGGTTCAAATGACTGACTAGGATGACCCGGGTTTGAATCCCCACTCCTGCCATGGCAGCTTGCTGGGTGACCTTGGATCAGTCACACCCTCTCAGCCTAACCTACCTCCCAGGGTTGTTGTGAGGGGGAAAAATAGAGGAGTGGAGAAGCAGTGTTCCCTCTAAGCTGAGTTAGTGTGAGCTAGCTCACAGTTTTCTAGCCTCCGGCTCACACGTTTTTTTCTTAGCTCAGGAAGGAGGGCTCCATAGCAGACTAATTGATGGAGCAGCCCAATCGCTCAAAACTCACAGCTTTAATGCCAGGAGTAGCTCACAGGGGAGAATTTTTGCTCACAGGACTCCACAGCTTAGAGGGAGCATTGGAACGTAAGCCAGTTTGGGTCCCAACAGGGGAGAAAGGAGGGGGATAAATGAAGTCAATAAAAGTAAATGAAGTGAACACGAATGAATAGAATGAATAAAATGAAATGAGATAAAGCTCTGCCTCTCCTATGCAGGGCTGGAGGCAACTTGCTTGTTTCCCTCCCAGCCTTTCCTCTGGGCTGTCCCTTCCAGGAGAAGGATTCGGTCTCCCTCCGCTCAGGGCCCTGCCTGCTGCGGCCCCGGGCTTTGTGGGGCACTCGCCCCTCAGCTGATCTAGCAGCACTCGGCTCCCTCACTGGGGATCCGGAGGCATTTCATCTTGCCTCTTGGGCCGTTTGCACCACGTTTTGAGGTGGACCTTGTCTGAACTAGAAGGACACCACCTGGTCTTTTTGCAATCGGTCCCCCTGATGCCCAGTTTGTGTTTTGCCCTGTCTCCATGTGGGCCTGGCGGAGCAGCAACATTCCAATACTCCAGCATTGCAGAGCTGGGGCTTCCCCAGCCACGGAGCTCACTCGCCAGGCTGGCTTGTCACTCGTTTTGCTCTCGAGTAGCTGGCTGTGAATGCGAATGCTGAGCAGGCGTTGGCCCAGAGAGGCACGCTTGGTGGTGAGTCACCCGGCGGCTTGTTTGTGCTCAGGTGTGAACGAAGTCGGCCCCCGGCTGCCGAGCAGGATCATCCCCAACGTGCCTCCTCTTTCCAGCAATCCTGATGGCGCAAGGCTCCAAGACGTGGGATGTCTTGTTCCTGCCCAGCGTGGGTGGAAGGAGGAGGGCGGGTGGACGAGAGTGAAAGAGCTGAGTCAGACTTTTGGTCTGCCGGACACTTTCTGTCCGGCCGGGGCCTCCAAACCCTCAGCCGGGGGTGGGGTGGGACTCCTGCCTCGCCTGCAAGAGCTGTCCCTGGATCTCTGCTGGATAAGCAGGTGTCCCCTTACCTGATGGCTACAGCCTTGTGTGAGGGTGACATTCATGTGGGGATCGGTCACTCCAGGAGCTTTTGGCATCCCGGGGAGGGCCAGTGTGGCACGGCACACAGAGTTCTATTGATTTCCTTATATCCCGCTTTCTCCCAAAGCATGGTGCTCAATCCCACCCCCCCCCCCCCCAGGCTCATGGGGTGACCCCCGGGCCTTTCACTCTCCTAAACCCAGCTCGAAGAATTCCTGTCCCGTCTCAAGTGCGACTGAACAACGTCAAAGTTTCCTGAATGAACCAGGTGGTTTAGAGCGGTCCCAGTCTGCTCTCATGCCTGGTGACGGACGACATGTGGCTTCTGGTGCCGTCAGGCACGGGATCCTTCCGGGACTGGGGGGGGGGCGCTGTTCTGCGGTGGTTCTGGCCTTCCCTCGAGGGCACGTTTCAGAGGTCGGTGCCCGCAAGGCTCCATCTTGTCCCCCGCGCTTCTCAATGTCTTTGTCAAGCTGCCAGGAGAGGTCAGCCACAGACTGGGGCTGAGTCGCCACCAGTCTGCAGACGACACTCCACTCCATCTTGTGCTGCCCGCAGATCCCAGGGAGGCCGTGGAAACTGTGAACAGGTGCCAGCGGTGGCCGTTTGGGGTCGTGGTGAAGTCCAGGCGGACTCTCATCTGCGAGGACCGGGTTGGATGCCCCACGCCTCCTCCGCTTGCACCAGAGCCGTAGCTCTGACAAGAGCTGTCCTTGAAGAAGAGCCGTTTCTGTCAAGAGCTCTCTCAGCCCCACCCACCTCACAGGGTGTCTGTTGTGGGGAGGGGGAGGGGAAGGAGTTTGTGAGCCGCTCTGAGACTCCTTTGGGTAGTGAAGGGCCATGGGGTATAGATCCAATCTCCTCTTCTTCTTCTTCATCCCCCCCAATCAGTAAGTCCCTCTGCCCACCAGCTGATTAGGGGACCCCCCTCCCATCCCTTCCCCTCCCCACAACAGACACCCTGTGAGGGAGGTGGAGCTGACAGAGTTCTTGGCAGAAACTGCTCTTTTTTCAAGAACAGCCCTCGTCAGAACTATGGCTTGCCCAAGGTCATCCAGCAGCTGCAAGTGGAGGAAGAAGAAGAAGAGATTGGATCTATACCCCATGGCCCTTCACTATCCAAAGGAGTCTCAGAGCGGCTCAGAAACTCCTCTCCCTCCCCCTCCCCACAACAGATACCCTGTGAGGTGGGTGGGGCTGAGAGAGCTCTTGACAGAAACAGCTCTTTCTCAAGGATAGCCCTGAGAGAACTATGGCTTGCCCAAGATCATCCAGCAGCTGCATGTAGAGAAGGAGTGGGGAATCAAACCCGGTTCTCCCAAATTAGAGTCCGCGCACTTAACCACGACCCCAAACTGGATGCCTAGGCTGGTGATGCAGTGGCATAACTGGCCCAGCCCCCCCGCTACCCATAAGCCCCTCCCCCCCACCCCCGCCTGTTGTCAGGAGGGACCTGAGCACTTGAAGTCCCCATGCCAGGTGCAGCACTGTCTCATGAGAACAGTGGGCTCTCCTCATCTCCTGTCTGCCTAGCTTAAGCCAGGACCAGACACAGAGGCCATGTGGCCGTGGGGCTTCCTCCCTCCGCGGAGTGGTGCCATTTCTACAGGGTTCCAGGGGTCGCTGTTAGGCCTGCGTGCCCCAGGGCGTGGGTGGGTTTTGCCGAATAGCACCCTCTGAGTCAGGTGGGGAGAAAGGCGCCAGGCATGGGTGAGGGTTGGAGCGCCTTCTTCATGTTCGCGGGGCTCCTGATCCTGGTGGGCTGCTGCATGCACAGGAGCTGAGGAGAAGTCATGACTCCCGGCCAGGTAACTCTGTTACCCGTCTGAGAGAGGTGGGT